GAAGATGGAACCCACAGCCTGTGAGGAACCAACTCAGATGGCTTTCAAAGCTCAGGATCATCTAAGGACATCTGAGGACATGACCCTGCTGTCTAGCACAAATGCACACTGGGATATGTAATCATGTTATGTAGTTATGTAATCATGAGTTAGCAGTGGATAACTATGCATGTGTCAGTGAAGCTAGCATGTAAGAATGTAAATATGAGTTAACAATCTGCATAAGAATTATACAATAAAGATGCAGGTGTTCTGCGTTCTTGTTCTCTGCTCTGCTCCACGCTGCCGGCTGTTGTTGCTGATATCTTGCACATGTGCATTCTTTAAAATGGGGATCTCACCTGCAAAAATTTCCCTTGGGCCCCCCAAGCTAGCCAACACAGCCTCATACACACTGGGCAAGCACTCAACCACTGAGTATACCCTCAGCCCCATTTTATAGAAATCTCCCAGTATAAATGATGACATACTCTCATCTTTCTCAAAGAATAATGAGATTAAGGCAGGAGTGGGAAAATCCTGATGTGGAAAATTAGAACACACTTGTAAAAGTTACAAAGAAAAAGACTGTGATCTCCCCACAAAACTGAAGATCAGGTAGTATCAATTTACACTACATTGCTATAGATGTAGGATTTTAATTATAGCCTATATGGCAACCACTAAGAAAATAACTAAAAAAGACACACACAAAAGAAGAAATCAAATAATACAAAACAAAACCAATCAAATACAAAAGACAGCAATAATGGGAGAAGTAAGGATGAAAGAGAAGTGAGAAGAAAAGATGAAAAGTTCACAAATATGTGGAAATTAAACAGCATATCTTAACCAACTAATTAAAAATATCTCAAGAAAAAAATTTAAGAGACAAAAAATTTGTTATGAAACAGTTGCAACAAATACAGAAAACATATAGCAAAATAGCAGAAGTCTTTTCCTATCAGTAATTACTTCAAATGTAATGGATTAAACTTGCCAATCAAAAAGCAGGGAATGACTGAATGAATTAAAAGTATGATGCAACTATATGCTATTTGCAAAAGACTGACTTTAGATAAAAACATACAAGTAAGTTGAAAACGGAATAAAAAAAAGATACTCTGTGAAAATAATAACCAAAATGAAGCACTGGTGTTTATGCTAACATCAGACAAGATAGACTTTAAGTCAAAGTTTGTTTAAAAAAAAGGACAAGTTGGGAGTGGTGGCATGGACCTGTATTTCTAGCTTCTTGGGAGGTCCACTTGAGCCCAGGAATTTGGAGTCAATCTGGATAACATGGTAAAACCCTGTTTCTTGATTTAGAAAAAAGAGAGCTAAGAAGTAAGAACTTGATATATTTGATGAAAGAGTCCATTTAACAAGGACATTGCAACACTTTCTATCTTGAAGGTCTCCCCAAGGCCCATGTGTACAGACTTAGGCCCTAGCCAGTGGTGTCAGAAGTGAGGAGGAGCCAACTAGAAGGAAGTCTGGTCATTGGGGGCATGCCTTTCAAGGGCCTATTGGGACTTTAGCCCATTTTGCTTTTTTTGCTATTTGGCTACCATGAAGTCAGCAACTTTGTTCCACTGTACATATGCCTACCATGATGTGCTGCCTCACCACAATCCCAAAAACAATGGGGTCAACTGTCTATGGACCAGAACCTCCAAAACTGTGAGTCAAAATAAACTTTTCCCTATTTAAGTTGATTGTCGCAGACAATCAACAGTAATAGAAGTAATAGTAATAATAGTAACAGAAGTAGCAGAAGTAACAGTAATAGAAGGATGCCTAATATAGATGCATCTATTCACAGTTTTCATATGTATGAAGCAAAGAGTATTGGAAAATATTTTTTGGTATTTGGGATTGACTAGGACTTCTTACACACTAAGCATCCATTCTACCACTCTTATAATAGCTGAAGACTTGTTAATACCCTACTTTCAGTAATGGATAGAAATCTAGACTGATGATCAACAAGGAAACAGATCCCTTAACACTACAAACCAGCTAACACATTTAATATATGTATCAACACAACACCCAGCTAAAACAGAATATTTATTCTGCTAGGGTGCATATGAACAGTCTCTAGACCACATGTTACAAAACAAGCCTGAACAGATATAAAATGTTTAAGTTATACAAAATATCCTCTCTGACCACAATAAAATGAAGCCAAAAAATCAAGGACAGAAGATGAAAAGTTCACAAATACGTGGAAAATAAACAGCACATCTTAACCAATGAATCAAAAATATCTCAAGAAAAAAATTTAAGAGACAAATGAAAATGAAAACACAACGTATCAACTCACAGAATGCAGTGATAGCAGTATGCAGAGGAAAATTTATAGCAGTAAATACCTATGTTAGAAAAAAAGTCTCAGATCAACAACCTACCTTCATACATTATAGAATTAAAAACGGAAGAACAAACTAAACCCACAGATAGCAGAAGGAAGAAAATAACAGAAACTAGTGCTGGGATAAGTGAAGCAGAATAGAAAAACAGAAAATTAATGAAAGTAAAAGTTGATTGCCTGAAGACCAAAAAAATTTTAAAAAGGCAAACCATTCATTAACCAGACAGAGAGAGAGAGAGAGAAAATGCAAATAATTAGAATCAAAAATGAAAGTGGGATCATTGTTACTGACCTTACAGAAATAAAAAGGATCAGAAAAGCATACTATGAAGCTGTATGCCCCACAAATTGGATAACAAAGAAATCAAGAAATTCCTAGAAATACACACACACACACACACACACACACACACACAACTGCTATCTTGTTTTTCCACAGGTTTTTTTCTTGCTGATCACAGATTTTAAGTCAGTTTAGCAAATTCTCACAAAGATTTGTGCAAACAAGGACCTTAGTAACTACATACAGTTCTTCCAAAGTTCTAAACTAAGCAAAAAAGAACAGAAAACAGAAAGATTCCTCTAGAGAATTTATTGGTGGTACCACAGCTAATATGCTCCTGGAGTCTTCTCAATCTATGGTTAGGAAACCAGGGTAATCACCATTCTTGCAAACTCGAAATCTACTACTCAAAACTTCACAAGGATACCTATTTACCACTGCGTTAAAAATCTAGTTATCAATATTTCTTGATAAAGAAGCAAAAGGTTTTCTTTTATCCCAGCTTATTTTTTTTAAATCTCTTATCACCCAATGTGTTTGTCCTCCTCCAAAATTACACTTTAAATATATCGACTGCTTTCATCTTAATAATGGCAAGTCATTCAGTTTATATCATTAGGGACACGACAGGCTGCTCCTGCATTTTATTTTTTATAAAAGTAGCCAGTAATAGTAATGAGTGGTACCAGTATTAGCACTCAATGAAATCATTTAACTTACTGAAAGAAACAGGAACACTGGCAGAGTCCAGACCACTGAAGAGAACACAAGTAGCCAATATTCCAGCCTAATAAATCCTCCACCCCAGTTAAATCCTGGAGCATGAAAAGCCTCAAGCAGAACACAAGCATATTCCGAACTACACTGACATAGGAGCTTTGGATACCATTTTCAGTGCTATTTTATTTGTCTGGTAAGCGTATCTAAAGCCAATTAAGAAGAAGACTTTTGATTTTTTCACTAACGTGAAATACAAATCCCAATCATTCCTTTAAAAATATTTGCACAATATAAATCCATGCTCAAAAAACTACCGTTAGCATTACAGAGACAGGAGTGTGCACTCCTTCAGTGATTTCCTTTACCTTGTAAGTAGTCATTCGATGCTGAGCAATTGTAGTCAGTTTTTCTAGAAGGCCTCGTAATCTCTCTTGTGTTGCATGGGAGATCAAGTTCACAGCATCAGAGTTAAATTCCGTAATGTCATGCCTTTTACCTGTGGAAGCAGAGAAAATCCATTACATGTTTTAGTAGTGGCTGATAATTGAAATAATTAGCACAGCAGGTATTCTGTTCCCCCTGGAAGTCATACCCATTATGAATAAAGGTTTGGAGATTATAATTTTCCTGGTAAAGTCACAACTTCAAAGATCTTAGACATTACATTAATAAAACCTAGCCTGAAGCCTTAGAAAATATAGACATTGTTTCACTTAGCCTCTAGAATCATTCTCCTCACAAGGTCATTTATAGGACAAAGTTAATAAGGACACAAATCAAGTCTACTGTTCAGGGAGGAAAATGGTAACTGCAGAAATTAGTGCCCTACTCTGTTAATTTTAGTAATTAAAAAAATAGAAAATTACATTTCTCCCTGTTTGACATTGTTAACAATTTGTGACATTTCAATGACTACAGGTTGTGAATTTCTGTTACTGTCTTGTCTACAAGATATACCTATACTGTTTTTGTCCATTAGCAATCACGCCTATATTTTACACTAACGTTCTGATCATTTGACCTGGTAATCAATTTATAAGTTGAAATGAGTTCAAAGCTTCATCATTTCACCCATCCATTTGAATAACTCGTCTCTTCTTTGAATAACTTTTTTCTTCCTTCTGCTAGCTAGAAAGTTACAGGGAAACAATTTAGACGACATACCCAAAGGCACAAGCTCATTTATAAATTAACCTTATCAATATTTACATAGCATTTCTCAGGTATAGTGAAACCACCTGTATCAACAGAGATTTAAATCTAAAGATACAGGCAATTAGGTGATCTCATTTAAATGAGCTTTGAAAACTGCTGCTGTGATTCTTTTTAACATATCTATAAGTACAGAAACGCAAAAATTTTTTTGACTACAACATCAAGTTATATGAAGCAATCATATTCTCATCAAAGGGTCAACAACTACAGCAAAAATATGCCTCACTTAAGCCAACAACATTTAAATAAATTCTTTGGTATTATCACATGATGAATATTAAACTTGTATTTAAAACATGGCTGGCAGTAAACCAAATAGGCAGAAGATACAAAATTATCCAACTTCTCCTAAACCAAACCTTCAAAATGTAATTCATTACCTTGTTTCAAGACTGAATTCATGTCTAATTTCAGATTCTAATAGGGGAAAAAATATACTACATAGTGAAATCTATTAAAACCCTTCATATAAACAAACAGTAAGAGTTGTATAGAAGGGGTGGTAAAATCTCAAAATAATTCAACAATTAAAATGAAAACTAAATACAAGGTAATAGGGTATGGTATGTCATTCCATGCTCAAATTTTTAAAAATGAACATTTAAGAATATTTATGTTTAGAGAAAGGGAACTTTGAAAATAATTTCCAATGTATTTACAAAGCTGAGGTAATTCAGCCAAAGTTTACAAATTAATATATTTAGCTGAGCGTAGTGGCACATGTCTATAAATCCAGGTTCTCAGCAGGCTGAGGCAGGAGGATCACAAATTCCGGGCCAGCCTCAGCAACTTAGTGAGAACTTGTCTCAAAATAGAAAAATAAGAACACACACACACACACACACACACACACACACACATTTTTAAAGCATTAGAACTAATGAAGTGCTAAGTTTAACAAGCAATTCCAGGGTTTGAGAACAGCAAATGTTCTAAAATATCTTCACTAGGTTGGTGATTAAACGTGACTTAAAGTTATAAACTTAAATACGATAAAATTTTCCCACTTTTAAGAAAAATACTCTTGTTTTAACATTACAACTAGAAGACCTACCATATTCCATAATCAGTGCTTGCATGCTTACCACTGACTTCATTAAACATCTGTATGATTTAATTAGGTAAAAAAAATTGTCATTTAATATTGTAACATTATTCAAGTAGAAAAAAAAATTTTTTAAATCTTCGGGAAACATAATTTCTGTTTAAGTAATGGCCTTGAATCTGACCTCATCTATACAGAAGCAATTTTATTAGAAGTGGAAAACATTCCTAGAAATATATTAACATCATTTGTTCTGTAGTTACACTTAAAAAAAAAAGGTGAGATAAATTCTGCAGTTTACCATATTATTAGATGACAAGTTTGTGTTTCATCATTCATTAACAAAAGAAAATGGAAACAGTTGTCACCTTATTCTCCTAAAACTGAGGTTGCCAAACTATGGCCAACAAGCCAAATCTCATCTTTCTTTGTGAACAGTTTTACAAGAACCCAACTGCAATGGACTGAATGTTCGTGTGCTCCGCCTCTCCTCCAGTTTATGCTGAAACCTTATGCTCCCCTGTGATATCTACAGTGGGACGATGAGGGGCTAATTAAGTCAGCAAGTCCCTGGTGAACAGGCCAAGGAGAAGCCAGAGAGCCAGCTCTCTCCGTCCTGTGAGAGCACAAGATGACAGCTCTCTAAAAACCAGCACAAGGTGGTCCTTTATCAAAAACCCAACTCTGTGGGAACCCTGATCTCAGACCTGCAAGCTCCAGCAGTGAGAAGCAAATGTCTGTCATGTGAGCCATGCAGTTTATGGTATTTTGTTATAGCAGCCCCAGCTGAGTAAGAAAACAGTCTTGCCTATGTGCTTACATTCTGTCTATGGCTGCTTTTGCCCAGGACAGCACAGCCAAGAAGCTCTGATAGAGAACACACGGCCCACAAAGTGGCAAATATTTACCATGCAGCCCACGGTGGAGAAAGGGGGCTGAACCCTGCCATAAACGATCAAAAATGACCTCTCAATGGTAAAAAACGTTTTATCATGCAATCATGGTTTAAGTCAAACTAGAAATAAAAATTGGAAGGAGAGGAGAATTATTAAACTTTAAACCTTTTCTATTCTACCAATGCTTTACATAATCATATGGCATTAAGGAGTTTTAAAATCAGTAAATTGTCTAAGCCACCACAGGAAGGAACCTAGGCTTGTTCCCAAACCAAGGAACCGGTTCCCACACAGTACAAAGTACATAGGCAGAGAAGCAAGTGCGAGGGAGGTGAGGAGGGAGGCAGGGAAAAGAAAAGAGGTAGGGAAAACATGAGCAATAGGAAATGTTTTACAGTCATTTTTAATTCCTACCTATTGAGCTACTCATAAATTCTAGCTGTCCATACTAAAAGAAATATATTCTTAATTTAAATGAGAAATGAAAAAGTGGTCATTTGTACAGCATCTAGCAGCTCAAACATTCACTTGTGAAGCAGACTTAAGTAACAGTAATCCTTAAGTATCATGGGTGTAGAAAAATCAGAAATCACCACATTTTATATTAAGCCTTCAATATCAGACACAAAGGTTTCTAACTCAGGCATACTCAAAGCTCATTGGTACTTGTCCCTAAAATCTGACATGGATAAAGGAGAAAAGCTGATTTCTGGAAGTCCCAGGGGTCAAGACACAAGAAATGGTATAATTCACACAAAAATCTCTTCCTAATCTGTTCTTTTTTAGCTAATGTGGGGAAGCTGAAGACTTTCACCTGATCCTGAGTAAGTTCAAACAACAATAATCTCTTTGGCCACAAAATAATATTGGTATGTTCTCTTCCACTTTCTTTCACATACTGCAGTCACCTAACAACTATTTCTGTGCCTGGAGAGAACCTTAATATTTTAATTCAGCTTTTTTAAGGTTAATTGTAGGTTTAAATTTCAGGATTAATGAAAAAGAAAAAAAGGACTTACTCTCATCTTTATTTTATAAACACAAATATGTAATAAAGGTGTATATTTGTACATATACCTGAACAACAGCCAACCAAGGAAGACCAGCACAGAAAAAAAATATTAAACAACATTATATACTTGATGTAAAAATGCATGCCTATTACCCTATCAGGAAATAAGAATATTGGCTTCTATCATCTAAGCCAGAAAACATACATTATATGATCTAGGTTATATTAATAATTTCTAAAATAAAATACTTTGTTTTATAACACCCATGTAATCCTGATTACTTCAAGAGCCATATTTTAAATCGTAGAGTCGCAGGCTGTCTTTTCTGATAGCATTTTCACTCAAATATCTCTATCAGGTCAATGATCATAACTCTATACTTACCAATGTCTAAGATTCTCTTATGTAGAGCGCCAATAAAAAGAAACGGCTCATCTTTACAGGACTGAATGAGTGTGCCAACCAATTCAGAGTTTGCTGATAAGATGCAGGCATTCTCTTCACTGAGGTTGACTCCTGCCATGGAAGTCACATCATTGATGTCATCTTCTTCTCTAATAGGAGGAAAAGGTAATGTTTGGGGGATCTGGAGTGTGTATATGAATGCATGGTTTCACAGAACAATAGATCAGACCTCTTCTTACAGCTAATAATATTATTTTACTTAGTTTATCCAAACAAGAAAAGAACTGACAAACAGCTACCTCCTCCCACAAGCCTTTAAAATTAATTGGAATTTCTAACCACTAGTGCATTTAATATAAGAAAGATGAATCAGAAGCAACTTTGTCTGCTAGAGCTTATCTTTCGCTGTCTGGTATGAGACGCGCCAAGTGGAATTTGGAGTTACACTAAGTCACCCACAAATCCTCTGCAATGAAAGACATAGGAATAAAAACAGACATCTTAGCTTTCAACCACGATGGTTGAAAACTCCCTCAGGTTTCCCCAGTACACACTACTGTTCCACTGAGTGGCAGCAGATCCCTCCCTCACCTGTCCTCAAAGGTCTGCACCCACATACAGGCCTTTGAGAGGCTGCTGCTTAACTAGTTATTCTGCAATCAAATTGTTAAAACTGCTTGTTTTTCTGCTTCCGACTTTTGGTGTGCATTATCTATACCAACTAAATACATTAAATCACATCCTCAAGCAACTGGCTACAAAAGGCCTATATACAAAATATAAAATTAAACACATATACACTTACATGTGCATGCATAAAAGATACATATAAAACACAAACTGTTTGGGCTTGTTGCTTTGCACCAGCAAAATGGAACAGTTGTACTTATCTCCTGGAATTGCCACATGGCTACAGTACTAAGATAAGTAACATATTTAAGGGTAGATAGAAGAGAAACACTAAAATTCTCTCCCAGGATCCTTACTACTACATATAGTAACAGGCAAGTCACTGGTCATAATTCATACACCAATGCATGATGTAATTTAATTTGCACAAACATGATTATATAAAAAATATGTTATTTCTCTTTATTGGATGTGCCAAATGGCATATCATGTAGTCTTATGTCAATAGACTTAAATTACGAAGCTCCCTGCAGTAATGCATTTGTGCACAGAAAGAGAAAATAAATTATAATTGTCAAACACTCCAGAAATAATGGCCTCTGGTGTTCAACTTCAAAAAGTAGTATATTAGTGGTGCAGCAGGGGGAGTCCATGCACAAATATATAGAGGACGAACAGCTAAATGAAAGAAGGAAGTTGCCAGACAGCAGTTCAAAATGAAGAGAAAGAACTGTCTTATCATCTAAACAGCATACTGAAAGCTCAACATTAAGAGGTATGTCTCTGTGCTGAGGAAAAGAAAATTTAAAAATCTCTCAAACCAACACACAAAATGTGCTCTGTAAAGAAAGCAATGTCTCCATCTCATCAAATATCACAAAGGGATATTTGGGAAGCTAGGAATGAGTCTAAGAATCAACTTCACATATAGATAGATAGATAGATAGATAGATAGATAGATAGATAGATAGATAAAGAGAGATAGAGAGATATATAGAGATATAAAATCCAGATTTAAACATTTAAATATCTAAATTATAAGAATGGAAGAAATCATAAATTTAACGAGGGACCAAATTCTGAGTAAAAAACTGTTCTGAGTGATAAATATTTCAAAAAACCCCCAAGTATCACGGGTAATAAAATACAGTTAGACAGAGTAATAAAGTCTAGTGTTCTATCGCACCAAAGAGTGACTACAGGTAACAATAATGTACTGTGTGTTTCAAAAAGAAGCCAGAAGGATTCTAAACATCTTCACCACAAAAAATGATAAATGTTTGAAGACATAAAAATGATTACCCTGAATTGAACAATGCACTATATATATATGTGTATATATATATATATATATATATATATATATATATATATATATATATATATATACATGGTACCCCAGAAATACTTACAATAATAAATTAATTAAAATTAAATTTTAAAAAATCAAGACCACATCAGTGAAAACTCAATTCACACCGAAACAATTCACTCCTAACTAGTTATTATCTTTGGGACTCAGCTTCCTCTTCCATAAAATAAATAAATTAGCTGCTTTCTAAGGTTCTTTCTGGCAGCTCTCTTTGGATTGACAGAGAATAAAGAGACTGCACCTTAAACACACTGTGTGCTTATATGGACATAAGACAGACCTGGAAAGATACCTGAGAAATTCTCCTCCAGAGAGGGGAATGGAGAAGTGGGGACAGGAAAAAGACTTACTTGAAATCATATTACTTCCCTTTCCACTTCTTGGAAGGTATACTATATACATGGACTGCCCAAGCACAAGAGTAATGTATTTAAGAAATAAACACTTAGAGAAAGAATACTAGACATAAGATAGGAAATATGATCAGATTTAGACCTACAACCTCATTCTTTCCTTAAATAAAGAATTGGAGTTGTGAAGAATAATGTTCCATGAACTTAAACACATTGAGACTGACTGCTTCTGATCTCACATGTGTTCGGGCACACAGGCCTCCATAAGCAGGGCCTCGCTTCTTTAGCAGGGCTCCGGCACAGCCCCTGCTGAGAGCTCACACACAGGCTGGAGAGAAGAGTACAAGTTCTTAGCATAGCACTGGCATTAAATGGAATTCAGTCAATGAAGATCTATTCCCATCTTTTAGAATCCTGCAGCCCTTCCCTGCAAATCACCAGGGAACTAAATGCCCAGTGAGATCTGTTCCTGCTTGCCATTCCCCTTTCTGTCTGCCCCCAAGCTGAAAACTTCCCTCTAGAACAGCTGCAGTTACCATGGCTACAGACGGCAGCAGGTGCTGAGGAAGACCCCAGCTGAGGAAAGAAGAAAAGGTGCCACAATAAACAGCATCCAAGCCACCAACTTTCTTCTCTGAAAACAATGTCCTGGCAGCATTACCAAGAAAGTCAAGACAGGCCAGTACAGGAGTCAAGGCTACAATGTGTAGGGCTACTTCTGATTCAGATGTGTTCCTACTCAATTTTAAAGACATGAGAATCAGTGTACCAAGACTTCAAGGTTACTGCAGAGCCTTCTGTGTTTCAAGATACTCAGAAGAGGAAACTTAACAATGCCTCAACACAAAAAGCCTTCAAGCTAGATGTGCACACACTTGCAATCCCATCTACTCAGGAGACTGAAGCAGGAGGACCTCAAGTATAAGGCCACTGCCTCAAAATAATAATTTTTTTAAGGGGCTGGGAGGTGGCTCAGTAGTAGAGCACTTGACTAGCATGCATGAGGCCCTGGATTCAACTCCTAGTGAAAGAAAGAAAGAATGAGTGAGTGAGTGAGTGAGTGAGTGAGTGAGTGAGTGAGAAAGAGAGACAGAGACAGAGAGAGACAGAGAGACAGAGAGACAGAGAGACAGAGAGACAGGCAGAGAGACCAAGAGACAAAGAGACAGAGAGAGAGAGAGAAAAGAAAGAAAGGTGAGAGGGGGAGGGAGGGAGGGAAGAAAGAGCCTTCAGGTCAGTATTCTGTGGAGTGCAACATGGTCATAGGTAAAAATTAAAGAAGTATCACCAACATGTGTACTTTGGCTTTGAAAACTACCTAATTAACTTTGCTTTTTGATGAGGTTAATCACTGTTCATACCTGCTTTCTTGAATCTCTGCTACTCTCTTTAAAATCTACAATAGCACTAAAATAATTCTTCTGAGGTAGACTAAGTCACATTATTTTTCTGTTCAAACTTTTCATGTTCCCATGAAATCAATCTGATGGTCACAGCCTCTGAGGTTCATGGCCTCTGAGGTAATGACCAGCTCTGCCTCCCTCCCTCCCCTCCTGCACTATCAACAGTTCCCCTTGACTACAGCCTCTGCCCAGGCAATCTCTCCCCACACTGCTCTTTAAGTCCCTTGCCTGGCTTATTATCCAGCTTTTAATGCCTTATCTAAATACCACACCCACTTCAAATGTCTACATTACAAATCCCAGATTTGTTTTAATAATTTTAGAGTACCTCTGCAATGTCACCAAATTTTAACATCTCAGAGCACATTTTTGTCTATGTTATAGTAGATTTTAATGATTTATAACCTAATTATCAATGTGTTTACCTTGAACTCCAACAACACTAACTTTATTGATCACATTAGTCAACTATCTTTCTAACAGAATATATATAAACTGTGTTTCAATGTTCTATGTGCGTAGAACAACGCACTGGGTATTACAAGGTACTGAGGAGCAAAGAATGGTAGGTGGAAATGAAGGTTCTGATTCAAACTATGTGCTCATTGGAATCCTAAATCTGCAACTTATTACCTATCAAGTAATTAACTTTTCTCAAACCACATCTTCAGTAAAATGAGGACAATAATAGTCCCTATTCAGACTGAGGATTAAAGAAAGTAATTCATGTCCTACAAAAAGGAATTGCAGATGTTCCCTGACTTATGGTGGGGTTACATCCCAATAAATTTACTATAAGTTGGAAGTATCACAATTTGAAAAAAACAGTTAATGCGCCATACTCATCAGAGTTTAGCCTGTTTTAACATTTACACTAGCCTACACTTAGACAAAATCAACTAACAACAAAGCCTATGGTATAACAAACTGCTGAACAGCTCATGTAATTTATTGAATATCTATATGCAAAAACTGCTGGTCATATAGTAACCACAGAGGATCAGGTTTACACTGGTGACTACACGGCTGGCTGGAGCTGAGTTCTGTGGCTGCTGCCCAGCATCACGAGACAGTGCCACACCATGTATGACCAGCGTAGGAAAAGATGAAAGTTCAAATTACAATTTCTACTCAACGCATAACTGTTTCCACATCATGTGCAATGATAGGATTCAATAAACACTTTATAATAATAAATATTTCAATGGCATTTGTCTCAACCAATCAAAAAACATAGACTGGCAGGCTGGACTAAAACACACAACCATATACTGCCTACAGAAGACACACTTCAGCCAAAAGGAAGGATACAGATTAAAAATGTAAGAATGAAAAATGAGCCAGGCATGGTGGCGCTCGTCTGTAATCCCAGCACTCCGGAGGCTAAGGCA